CTAGTAGCTTATTGACTTATTTTTACATTTTTGAATCAACTAGGAGCTCATTTACATACTTGAATCAACTAGTAGCTTATTGACTTATTTTTACATTTTTGAATCAACTAGGAGCTTATTGACATATTTGAATCAACTAGTAGCTTATTGTCTTACATTTACATACTTGAATCAACTAGTAGCTTATTGACTTATATTGACATACTTGAATCACCTAGTAGCTTACTGACTTATCTTTACATTCTTGAATCAACTAGTAGTTTACTGACTTATATTAACATACTTGAATCAACTAGTAGCTTATTGACTTATATTTACATATTTGAATCAACTAGTGGTTATTGACTTATATTGACATTCTTGAATCAACTAGTAGCTTTATGACTTATCTTTACATTATTGAATCAACTAGGAGCTTATTGACATATTTGAATCAAATTGTAGCTTATTGTCTTACATTTACATATTTGAATCAACTAGTAGCTTATTGACTTATATTGACATACTTGAATCAACTAGTAGCTTACTGACTTATCTTTACATTCTTGAATCAACTCGTAGCTTATTGACTTATATTGACATACTTGAATCAACTAGTGGTTATTGACTTATATTGACATACTTGAATCAACTCGTAGCTTATTGACTTATATTGACATACTTGAATCAACTAGTGGTTATTGACTTATATTGACATACTTGAATCAACTAGTAGCTTATTGACTTATATCTACATACTTGAATCAACTAGTAGCTTATTGACTTATCTTTACATTCTTGAATCAACTCGTAGCTTATTGACTTATATTGACATACTTGAATCAACTAGTGGTTATTGATTTATATTGACATACTTGAATCAACTAGTAGCTTATTGACTTATCATTGATTGTTTACTTATCGTGTGTTCATAGTGTGTTTGGAAGAATTTTTCAAGTATCTCTAATTTTGATTAAAAATCACGGAAACTTCTTATAAGCACAAGAATAATACAATAGTAACCTATTTCATATTTCTTATACTTATACTTTATATCTGTACTTTATTCAATCGGACTAGCCAACCGAAAAGTTTTATTTGTATACTGCAAACTGATCGGCAGATTGTGTAACTACAATAAGAGACACAATAGTAGATTTATACATTAAAGGCTGATAAACAAATCATTGCTATAAGTTCACACCAATATTTACCTACTTGAATCAACTAGTAGCTTATTGACTTATATTTACATACTTGAATCAACTAGTAGCTTATTGACTTATATTGACATACTTGAATCAACTAGGAGCTTATTGACAT